ATAAACATGTGCTACCAGAGACCGCAACAGTACCACCATGAGCAAGCACTTGGCGACGGACAGGAAAAACTGCCTTTTAAGCGGCGCAGAAACCCTCGAGCAGACCCTCTCGGCTCTCAGGTGGGTGGTCATCATGCCTTGACCAGTTGGGGAAGAGAAAGGAGAGAGAGAGAGAGAGACGAGACAGAGGAGAACGAGAAGAGGAGAACAGAGAGACAGAGAGACAAAACAGATGTACAGCCAACAAGCAAGCAAGCACTCACATTAACAGTAATGGATCGATGACGATCATGAAAAGACGGTGACGACGGCGACAGCAGAAACGACGGGGACAGCGAGGCAGACAACAGCAACCGCAGCAAGAACAATAGTTAACAACAACTAATAATAAATAACGATACATAATCAGTGATATTAGCAATGGCAGTCTAGCAGGACCATCGGCAGGAGGGCTCACCAGGATCCATGAGACACTGCAGGATGATAAAGCGACAAGCAAACTCCGGGGAAGAAGTGAAGTTGTAACATGCATTAATGGGACATGAATGAGTGCAGAAAAGAGAGGAGAGAGAGGGCTCAGTGCACCATGGGATAATCCCCGGCAATAGGTCTAGGCCCTATACAGCCGCAGCATTGGTGTGCAGAGGCCTTTAAACATATACAACAATATAACCATAACTATAACCATCTAACATTAAACATTAGCACTACAATTTGTCAAAAACAATTGAGACCCACTCAAAATGGCCACAGTCTATCAGCATCACAGGTTGATGAAGCTCTTTCTAGTTTTATGAGATGGGATTCTGATAATTTATTGAAAAACTTCAAGTAAGTATTAACAAGGCTAATCTTACCTCTTTTCAAGCTATATTTTTGTGAAGACTGTAAAAAACGTTATCACTTTGTTCCATGTACATTACCTATACAGTAGTAAATCTGTTGTTTCCGAAGCTAAATATGATTGAAGCTGAGTAAACTCACTTTTTAGTATCTGTATTTTGTTTAGAGGCTTTAAATGTTTTATTAAAAGTTGTTTACCATTTGGCTTACAAAGAGATTGAGTTTTTAGGATAAACACCTCAACACAAATCATATTTTCTGCCTAGAACGTTGATATGTGCTCCTACCTTTCCACCTTAGCATCCAGGTTTTCTTCACTCTGAGAACATTCAGTAGCATTTTCTGAAGATGCATTCTCTGCAAGAGTCCCTGTGGCTGAAAGACTGCTATCATCCACTGTGCTCGAGAGGGATGCTACGTAGAATAGAAACAGATTTATTGACTCATTTATTGTCAGCACAAAGCAAACAAAGTTTATCCATCCTCAACTGATTTGTATATCCACTCAATACTGTATGCAATCCCGTTTCATCTATCGTAGTTATGCCATAAACTGTATAACCTCACTGAACCTATATAAGACTGCCTGCTCTCAATTTACACCCCTCTTAATGACGGCCTTCCAGTATGACTGTTTAGAACAGTTATTAAACACTTTTGCTTTCTGAAGGTTGGACAACACGTCATACCAACTAGTTCTTTTGAGAATAATCTGGCCCTAAATCTGAATGTCTACTGTACACTGAGGAAGGCATAGCTGAAATATTTGTACATTCTACTCCCCTATGCTGAAAACATAAACTGATAACAAACGTCTATTTTAACTTACTGGATTTAAACACTTCAGCTCCTGGCTCTAAAATTAAAGTCACTTTTATATTATTATTATACTATTTATACTATAGTCATTTTTGCATCATTTACTTATCCTCAATATCTTTTATCCTCAGAAAAATTAGTATTGTGGACTTCCCTGCACTAATTAAATTAAATTTGATCTGAACCAGGCCCTTGAGGGTCCAAGCTGCATCCGCTTGGTGGATGAGTGTGTTATCCAGAATCACTTACCTATCCCTGTTCCTGGTACTGGTACAGGTTCTGTTGCTACTCCTGGCTGAACAGACAATGCTGGAGCTGAGGCAGCGGATGGGGCTAGAGCTGGGGATGAGGCGGAGGCTGAGGCTGAGGCTGGAGCTGAGGCTATGTTGTCATATGGGCTGGTCTCCACAGGAACACTTGACTCTGGAAACACTGTCTCACCTCCAATCTGCTGAGCATGCATCTGTCAGAAACCAGGGAGAAAGATAATTACCAGAAATAACACCATGTAGATTCAGTAGCTCAGGTGTTAGGGTATAAGGAGACAAAACAGTGCCATTCTAGTTGGTGTGTGTGATCGGCTAGTGTCCAGAGCATCTCAGATGCAGTTGTTTTCCCCACTCTTCATATGCCGGTTCTATTTTTGACCAATTTGCACAATATTTACTGATGAAAGTAATTCTTGTAGTAATTTGGGGGGCTGTTTTCACTGTGTTCTTTGTCATAGGGACATTTTTGTTAAGTCGTGTCACTGTCCTTGTGCAAGAATACAGCGTTGACTGAGCCATGGACTGTCGAGTGTACTGGCCAGGGAGAAACCTGAAATCCCCAACGAGCTAAGGAGGAAGTACAGGGGATGTACAGCAGGAGCGAAAACGGCAGGAGCAGAAGAATACAAGCCATGTCTGCCTTCCATCACAATGTGAGATTGCTGACTTATACAATGGACGAGCTAGCAGCCCTGGGGAGAAGTCAGATAGAGTATTGTGAGAGCAACAAAGACATCCCTGACTTTAACATGTCTGTCGGTGGTTTCAAGATGATATGGGTGGACTGGAATTGCTGGAAGAATGCATGGGATTAACTATTCTCCTTAACAACAAATGGTGCAATCCTGGTCATATCATGGTTAAAGAAAATGTGTGCAGCCCAGACACTAAACCACTTGCTGTCCATAATTTTTGACAACAGAGTTTCCCGTGCTGTCGTCTTGGTTGTTTACAGATCTCCTTTGTTGTTGTCGCCTTTGTTGCGATAACTGGGGACATCAACTATGTTAACCTTGCTGCACCTCTGCAGCTCTTAAATACTACGTTTACCAGACATACCAAGCTACTGAACTGCAGATAAAATCATTATTTCATATTCAAACATAATAAACAGAAACACAGTTTAAAGAGGGCAGAGATGGCTATATTGACATCTAAATTTAGACGGACAGTTAGAAGTACGCTGTCATATTTAGCAAAGCCAAAAAGTATTTGTATCCAACTAAATGCTGTACTGCTGTAGTTATGCTTGTAAAACACAAATGTTGGCAGTAGACGTAATAAACCATATTATGAATGTGGATGTGGAGGAACAAGCGCTCTACTTCTGAGGCGTTTCTGGTGTACACTAAAACAGTGACAGAGCAGGAATATGGCTCCACACAGGACACAGAACTCAGCACAACAGGGGTTTCAGCTAAATGCTGACATGCTCACTATTTGCTATTTAGTATTAAAGTAAACCAAGTACAGAATATAATAATAATGCAGGTGTTTCGTAATAAACCAAAGTACTAGAGTAGGGCTGTCGCGGTGTAGGAATTTCCCCTGTGATGATGTGACTAGTATGTGGCAGTATGCGATATTATTGCCATTTTTGTTGTTAACCCTGCCTCCTAGGTCTGTGACCCAGAACACTGGCGAGCCGTGGGATGCAAACGCCAATTTGGTGGCGAATTGGGGATAATTAGTGGACCTGTCTGCTATGGGATCTGTCTGTTTCGAATCCGGAGTTTTTCCAGAGCTAGTGAGACGGAGGCTACGTGACTTTCTCCTGTGTGGTATTGTAATTCTGGGCTTAACAGTTACCGCGACAGCCCTACACTCAAGACGTTACATTTCTGACCTGATAATGGTGCTAAATTAAACAGAACAGCAGAGGATCAGCAAAATTATTAAAATTCATCCTAAGGGAGGCCTGAATGTGTGTAGCAAATTTAATAGAAATCCATCCAATAGTTATTGAGATATTTCAGTCAGGACCAAAGTGGTTGACTGGCCAACCCCATCGCCTGACACTGCTATCTCCAGAACTGCTAGCATGATGGGTAAAAAATATGCATGTGATTCTTCATTATGGGATACTGTGTGAAAAAATGTGGAAGGTTTGAAAAAAAAAAAAAGTAGTGAGCTCACTGTAAGTTATACAATGCAATTTTGTGCCCATACCTGCTTAACTCTGTTGATTCTTTTCTTCAGTTCTTCAGCGGGCACAGTGCCAGCAATGACCTCCAGAGGAATCCCATTCTCTCCAATAAAGAAACTAGATGGTATGCACACCACTGGATCTTCACACAGGGTAGGTTAAGGAACAAGCTTCCAGCAATTAAATACAGTAGTATTCACATAGGCAGTATAAATAGCTTCACAGAAGACACAAAAGAGTCAAAAGAGACCCTTGTCAAAGTCGCTCAAATCCTTAGCTTGCCCATTTTCCCTGCTTCTAACACATAAACTTGCTGTCTAATATATCCCACCCACTGACAGGTGCCATCATAACCAGATAATCAGTGTACTGGTTGGCCGCATTAGAGTGTGGTGAATTGTGGATAAAATGTATGCTTTGTTTCACCAGTGAGCTTGATCGTAAAACGATTCACGTAGCTCAGTGGTAGAACAATGAGTGTAAATATGTATTAAAAGCTACGCGAGCGTTTTTAATTTCTTCTTCGGCGTTACTTTCACTTTTGACTGATTTAAAATGACAGATGGCACCGGCAGAAGGAGGTTGTTCATATCAGCTGTCACTATGATCTGTGAATAAATCTTGTTGGCCAGAAGCCACAAACAAAAAACTTGGGCTGTTGGTTCTGTGCTCTTTGCAATTAATGTGCAATACAGCGTTATGAAGAAGCATCACTCTGGTAACACCCTGGTACAACTTTGATGAGTGTTAGCTGAATGTTTTGTAGTTGCATATTTGCTAAAACGCTATACATCAGCTTCTATCTTGGTAAACAGTTTATGACGAGCTGGATCAGGTGAAAGTGAATAAC